CCCCAAAACCCCAAAACCCCAAAACCCCAAAACCCCAAAACCCCAAAACCCCAATCTTGTATATGGTTGTTGAAAAGACTCTAAAATTAACAATAAAACTATATCAGATAACATTAAATATTCATATTCGATCTATAAGTCCTCCTTAAATAATAATCTGACTTCTTGGAACTTATTTCTAACCATCAGTTAAAGCTTCTTACACTTCATTACTATTCTGTAAATACCCCAATATCAACAAAACCCTATTCCCAAATTACAAATTAAATCTTCTCCATTGACCCAAATTGTACAAGCCAACACCTAATCCTAAGAAATGCTATATCAAAACTAAAATCCAAGCTAGCCCTCTTCACAACTTCTTTCCCTTCCTTGCTGTAGCATTCCAGTCAGAGTCCAAACTTCAAGGATGAGATTAAGAGTTGTCATGACTATCATTATTTGATCAAATATAAGATCTCAGGGAATAGATCTATTAGAATGTTGTTCATCTTTTATATTAAGAAACACCCAGAAAATTCCGATCTGATGTGTTATCCAGTCATTCCAAGACTTTCTTCATCAAAACTCTCAAGTCGACTTGTCATCCAGTAGTCAGAACAGTTCTAGCTTTCATTGTTGTTTTCCATATTTCTGGGTATATCTCCTTTCTTCTATCGCCAACTCTCAATGGAGTTCCTGGTAGCTACAAACAGAGGAGGCATGGAAGCCCTTCCTTTGTTGAAAAAAATCCTTTAGTGCTTCCTGATTTATTGGAACAGTATTCTAATTCTCATTCAATTTTTGCTATAACTCATCAACAGGAAAGGACATCAGATCTATAAGAAGTTACCCTCGTCTGTTAATTTGCCTGAACTCCTTGTCCTCAAGAGAGATGGCAAGCCTAGGATCTCCCCAAGTAGAATACTTAAGGTTGGCCAGAATAAATTCTCTCTTAGTTTGTTTCACTGGCAACTCTCTAAGACAGTCAGAACAGTTTTCCTTATCTGACCAAGTGCTTTGTATCTTCATTTCTGGCTAATCTCAGAAAACCTCTGCACCACTCCTGGTTAGCAGATAAGGTACTTGGTAGCCGCTTTTGCATCCACTGGGCTTACCTTATCCCGGCTATCTTTTCCTGCTATATAACTTGGAAGATACTAGAATCAGAGCCTCATATCTTGAAAAATAAAAATATTCTAAACTCAATATCTCTTATTAGTTTGGGGTTTTGGGGTTTTGGGGTTTTGGGGTTTTGGGGTTTTGGGGTTTTGGGG